ACAAATTTATGCCACCCAAAAACCTTATGTTTCTAGCTTGCCGTCTCTAGTTATAGCTTGAGTATTGAAAATATAAGTTTTAATCTACACCCTTTTGCTCTAGTGAGATCTTGTCCTGTAAATAAAAATCTACCATCTAGTTTCCATAGATTATATATCCAGATAACTCGATCCAATTGTTTCATACAATTATCTGAACATGAATAATTATACAAAGTTCAGTAAGAAAGAAGCCAAACAAGCATGTGAAGAAGTCCCTATCTATAAACAAGAATGCCTTTCTATGAAAAGCAGCAACAAAATTCAGACTACGAAATCAAAAATTAGTACTGTCAGCAGATCGCTACATAGAAGAATTAAGGATATATGTTCTGATCATCAGGATATGATCAAATCCATCCAATGCAAGTCAGTCGTTCATTCCTTTCCTTTGAAATCCACCTCATGAACCTCGATTGAGAACTTTAAAACATAATAGTTTCTGATTTTTCTAGTAGAACACATCGGGCCAAACTAACATTTATAACATTGACGCTGAAACAAATATACTATATAATTTTGACTACAAGAAATATATATAGGTGAGATTCCAGTTAATATATAGAATTAGAAATTACTTGCCTCCACTCTCTTTTTCCACCCTGACAACAAGATTGAGATTGAGATCACGAAGATTTCGATATTCACAAAGATTATGGCTTATTACCATATATATATATATATATATAGTGTCAAAAAAATACGTCTTCAGCCAAGACGACATCGTTTTTTCTCCATCTATCTATGCTCTTCGGCCACTCCTAATTCCTAAAACGAAGAAGCCCTATTCTCCAATCATCAGCACCGATCCCTTCATCCATCCCCAAATAATTGACCGACTCCTCGCCACCGGAAGCCCCCACCGCAAAGCCACCGGCACCGAAAACTGCCCCCACCGAACTGCATTCATACATCCCCAACCTCACCGCTGCGTGAAAGGTGAGTTCTTAATTTTCCCGGCAACGAGGCACCGCGAGAGGCGGTGCGGTGCCTCACAGAGACACCGTGAGACACGGAGGCATACGGAGGCACCGGGCGATGCCTCCGTGTCTCGCAGAGGCATGTCAGGCAGGGGCGGACGCAGAACTTTTACATTGGGGGGGCACAATCGAACTTGTAAAGAAGTTGGGAGAAATTTTACAACGA